ATACCCACACAGCCCCTTACACATACACATACACACGCACACACACACACACACAAACACAAACACACAAAAACAAGTAGATAGAATAGAAAAAAAATAGAAAGCTATTGTTAGTTTGTTTGTTTGTTTTTTATAAAAAAGATAAATAGATAAAGTAGAATTCAAATAGAATAGAAAGAGCTAGATTTAGAGGGTGAAATAAAGATGGAACAGATGTGTTTTTAGTCGTTTCTTGAAGATGGCTAAGGATTCAGCTGCTGGGATTGAGTTGGGCAGGTCATTCCACCAGGAGGGAACAGTTAATGTAAAAGTCCGTGAAAGTAATTATCCCTGACTTCAGTGAGTGGGTGGGGATAATGGGGTCGGAAGAGGGAGATTTCTCGCTGTTAACACTCAGGCATGGTTGTAAATGCATGCCTGATGCCCAGGTGTCAGTAGAGGATTGTCTGATAGCCGTGAGTGCGGCAGTCAGTGGCGCTAACATCAGGTTATCGAACGTACCTCCGTTTGTTAAAAACGAAAAATTAGAGCAAATACTCCAGAGGTATGGGAAAATAGTGAGTCCTATTAAAATGTTTCCACTCGGATGTAAAAATCCTGATATTAAACATGCAATGTATTTTCGGCATCAGGCTTTTATGATTTTGAATGCTCAGAGTGATCCGTTAAATCTGTCGGTGAAACTAAGCATTGATGGCAAAGATTACACTACTTTTTATTAATTCAGACTCGATGAGATGCTTTATGTTTTCATTTTGGACACGTTAGACAAACTTGCCCGAATCGAGACAGGCCGGAAGGCCTTCCTGCGGCTCCGGCTGCAGATGCGGAGAACAGCAAGAGTCGCCCCAGCCAGGTGAGGCATTTTCGGCGCTGGGTGACTTGCACGAGAGACTGGCACTGGTTGCCTCTAAAGACGGCCTGGTGGAGGCTGCTGAGGAGGCGGCCGGGCCGAGTCATATTCCCGCTGTACCGCAGGCAGAGACGAGCCTGGAACAGGTGTGCTTGCAGTCCGTGCCCGAGACCGATTCGCTTTGTTTTGGAAAACAAATGCAGCCTGACAAAACTGAGAGTAATGCAACTATTGATGACTCATTTATTCAGAGTCAAGAGGACATTTCATCTCAAGAACTTGTGGATTTAAAGCTACAAATGGATGATTCCAACAAGGAATGTGAAGAAGACACAGATATAATGGAAAACGACGCGATGGATTCAGAGCCTGCCTCTGGAGGTATGACTAAACTTTATTCTGTTCAGCAGATTAATAACTTTCTTGATATTACAAAGGGGCTTTGCAAAATGTAGTCATATTTTCCTGATTTAAAAATGTTTTTGCTGTCTGGTACAATGGCTATGAGAAAAGCTTCCTTTGATGAGCTTGACAAACCCAAACGGTACAGTCTTAAAAAGCTTCTTAGTAATGTTGGAAGTTCCTTAAATGTAAGGTAAAAAAGGTAAAATATTAGTATGGCTTGGTTACCTGAAAAATACTCTTGTGAATTGGTGTTATTGAGTGTCTATTTTATACTTATTTTCATGGCACCTTTGAGACTTAGTTCATTGAACATCAATGGGTGTCGTGATGCTACGAAAAGGGCTAGTCGTTTTGATTTTATTATGATGAAGAGTGCCAGTGTGGTCTTTTTAAAGGAAACGCATTTTTGAGCTAGTTTCTGGTCGATTGCTGAGAGTTGATGTAACGATTCATGGGATTGATTTTTCTTTTGTTAATGTGTATGCATCCACTATTGGGTCAGAACATGTTATTTTCTTTGAAAATCTTAAAACTGAGAGAGGAAAATGCAGTATAAGTCCCTGAGCCAGTGGTGGGACATCGGCAAAATTCAAATAAATTTGTTTTACCAGAGTTATTCTGCTTATATTAAAAGTTCCTTGGACAATAAGATGGCACAGTTTGAACAAGAGATACTTCAGCTTAATATTGAAGGGGACGTTGTTGATACCACTGAGTCTTTGGAACGCAACAAATTTCTTTTGTGGAATCTATTGGAAGAAAGAGCTCAGGAGATGCTTATTCATGCAAGATTTTTAACTTTTAGTAGTATGGATGCTCCTACGTCTTTTTTCTTTGACCTGGAGAAGAAGACTGTGGATAAGAAGATTTTAGGCTGTTTGAAACGTCCAGAGGGGAGGAGGATCACTGATGGTCATGGGATTATTTCTTATGCACTGTCTTTTTGAGGATCTTTACAGAGCTGAACCTTACGATGAGGAGATGGCTGACCTTCTCCTTCAGGACTTACCTCAAGTTTATCAAATCTATGCTTGATAAACTATTGACTTTTGATGAAGTATCTGTAGCT